CCTTTAAGCAATGAGAAATGGCCTTGAACTTAAGCTCCGGAGTTTTATACCTCCTTGCATGCATGTAGCTACTTTTTGGATTATTGTATTTGTAGTTTCCTTTTTTCCCTCTTAAAGTCACTTTGATATCTCATCATCATTTAAAAACTACTGTTCCCAAAGGCCTCATCTAGTTATCTTTTAGATGACTGATTACTATCAAAAGAGGGAAAAAGTAAAATAAACTTTAAAATAAACCTAAAAAGAAAAGGGAAAAAATCCAAACCATTTAAATCAGTGCCATAAAACTATTTTGGAAAACCAGCTTTCTATATTTTAATGCTTTCCATGTCTGAGGCATTTCTCCAGACTCTGGTGCTATAATTGTAACACCATCTTGACACTTCTACTTTTAAGCCACAAAGTTTGTGCCTGTTCTTTTTCAAAGAGAAAAAGTTGGAGCCAAGTGACCACTATGCATACTCATGACTCATAGGTAATGGAGCAGCAGGGAAAAGTCCACATTGAAAAAGCAAATCCAAGCCTGTGCTTCTTGAGGTATATGGAGCGGGGAGGGTGGCCAGAGCACTGAAGAAAGGAGCATGGCTGAAGTTTACACCTGCTCTGATGGAGGAGAGGTAAGGGGAGGCAAGACAATACCTGCAGGGCAAAAGCCAGAAGGGAGAATTCCTTTGTGAGATTCAGGAAATTGAGCCCCTGTAGCATAGGAATTGCTTCTTAAGAGTTGAGCACTTAAAAAGAGCCCCCTGGGGCACCTGGATGGTTCAGTGGTTAAGTGTCTGCCTTTGGCTCAGGTCATGATCCCAGGGTTCTGGAATCAAGCCCCACATCAGGCTCTCTGCTCCATGGGAAGCCTACTTCTCCCTCACCCACTCCCCCTGCTGTGTTCCCTCTCTCACTGTGTCTCTCTCTGTCGAATAAATAAATAAAAATCTTAAAAAAAAAAAAAAAAAAGCCCCCTTTCCCAGTTGAAATAAGGGAGTATCAAGCTAGATGTCATCCCTTTCTCCAGCCCTTGGCCAATGCTCTGTGCTGGACACAATCTGGATAATCACAGGTTGCAAACATTACTTCATGGCAGCATTGCAATTTACCAGTTCTCTGACTATCCCACCCCAAAAGGGACTTTGTTTAGGCCATGTCCGAATCACACCCATAAATGACCTTCCAGCCAGCTGCTCAAGTGCAGGAACTTTGAGGCATAGCAGGTTTCCAAGCACATAATTTGGAATTGGTGGAGAAGTGGTCAGGGAGAGATGGTGATAAACAGACCCATCTCAAGAACTTTTAAAAAACACACAGTCAAAAATAAAAAATAAGGAGCTGCAATAGGCAGAGCTAGGGAAACTGTAACAATGAAGAAAAAGGAAAATTATATGCACAAAGGGCATCTCACATGCCAGATACTGTTAATGCTTTATTTTTATAATTACCTCTTAATCATCCTGAAACCCTGTACCTTAGATATTGCCTTCTTTCTCCTAATAGGGACAAAAGCTAAGGCTAAAAGAGGGTATGTCAATTTCTCAAGGCCACATGGGTAGTAAGTGGTAGTCCAAGCCCCCAAATATAACAACTCTTATGACTAGCTCTTTCAGGTCTCACATACTGATACTAATGATCTCCAGATCTGACACAGGAGATCTGGGGCTGAATGGCATGGCAGAAACTACTGCTTGCCTCCTAATATCTATTCTCTGCTGCTTTTTAAAAAGGAGAACTAATTTTAACAGAGCACACAGCCAGCCACTCAGCTAACAGACTGTATTTCCCAGTTGCTTTGCTCATATGTCACGTGACTGCATTTCGGCCAATGAGATGTAAGCAGAAATGCCAAATGGAACTTCGTGGAGGTTGTATGTCTTTTTGGTCTCCTTTCTCCCTAGTGCTACCTGAAGTATGGATATAATTTTGAGCCACGATGTTGCTTTGAGAATAGAAGTTCAAAATTGCCAAACAAAAATACAGAATCTGCTTGGGGCTCACACATGGAACTATCTACCGCCAGACTTCCTTTTTTTATGAGTCAGAAATAATCTATCCAGTTTAAACCACTATTTGGGGAGTCTTTCTTACTTGTACATGAACCCAGCCCTAAGAGATACAATGTAAGATCTGCCACCTTATACATCCATACCACTGAATTCTTTCCCCCTTCTACTTCAATACTCTCTGGTTCTACCTTTTTATACCTCAAGCTAATTTTATACCAGGTATACCATTGCTTTTATCTGACACTGAGAGTTAGGACCCCCTGTTCCATATTAATAGGTTTCTCTGATTTGTAAGTTTAGTTAAGAGAGGTCAGTACCTTACACTGGAATTAAAATCTTAAAAAAAGGTGGGGGGCAGGTCAGTCCCTTCCCTAAGGAAATTCCCTACTGATGATTTCTTTATCCTTTTCAGTGTAAAGCTCTGTTTGTCATGCAGGTAAAACTTACCTTGACAGGTACACCAAATTTTTGCTACATCCTTCCTCCAACAAGTAGGTAATTATTCATCCTAACTTATATAACTAAGGAACACCAATTATCTGCATGCTCCCTGAAGAGAGCTCATCTGTTGCTAGATGACTTTTTCTTCTACTCAATCAGATTTGCAGGGGATCATCTCATTCCCAGATATACCAGCTTCATGAACAGAAATGTTATGTATGTTTGGGTAGGTTGTGCATTGCATAAGGGCTTTTGCCCTAAGAAAGGAGTACTGTCTTTTAATTAAAACACAGGGGCGCCTGGTGGCTCAGTTGTTTGACTCTTGATTTTGACTCAGATTATGATCTTGGCTCAGGACATGATCTCAGGATCCTGAGATGAGCACCATGTAGGACTCTGCACTCAGTGGGGCACCTGCTTGAGATTCTCTCCCTCTGCCCCTCCCCCTGAGCTCTCTCTCTCTCTCAAAATAAATAAATAAATCTTTTTTAAAAAAAAGGCACAAAGGAGCTGTCTGATGGCTAAGCTATTGCCTGCAGGGCTATATTGGCTCTGGCACTATATGGGATAACTGTGAACCTGTGACGATAAGACTTTAACCTCTATTAGTCTTAGTCTTCTCAACAATAAATATAGATAAACTCATAAACCTTCGATTTTCCTGGGTGCCTGAGTTGTTCGATCATTTAAACATCTGCCTTCAGCTCAGGTCATGATCTTAGGGTCCTGGGTTCAAGGCCCATATTGGGTTCCCTGCTCGGCAGTGAGTCTGCTTCTCACTCTTTCTCTGGTCCTTCCCCATCCATTCTTCATCTCTTTCCTCTCTTTCTCTCTCTCAAATAAATAAATAAAATCATTTTAAAAAACTTATGTTTTTCTCCTCTATAAGATAAGGAGAATACCTTGTCTAGAAGGTAAGATGGAATAGATAGGTTTTAAAGTTCTTCACAAAGTCTAAAATATTCTGCCCATCTTTTTTTCTTTTTAATAGAGACTCTTGTGACCACCCAATTGGAAAGAGGCACAGTCCAGAGTCATTCTCTATTATGTCACTTTGCTTTATTGTCTTTATTATCTAAAAATATTCTGTTCATTTACTGTTTCCTATTTATTATTTGTCTCCTTCCCATCACCCACTGTTTTGAAGTATGAGATACATGGTAGCATAAGCCTTGTCTGTCTTGTACATTGCTGTATTCCCCATCACCCAATAGTTACTGGGATATAGTTGGTTTTCAATAAATACTGATTGACAAATGGATGGATAATTTTGATAGTACCATGAAAAAAATTCCACAAATACAAAGTACTATTATTAGGGATCATTTAGCACTTTGATAACTCATAATATTTCTCTCATCAAAAGTCTGGCTTTCCCCTAAGCCATTTATCATATTTACTACAGAAACATTTAAAATGTAGAGGGTAAGAAGACCAGAGTGAAAGACTAAAGAAAGGCTGAAGTGCTAGTGGGGAAATGCAGAAGCCAGTGAAGGTGTCTTTGCTTTTATGCTATGCCTGAGTTGAAGATAGCAGCTGTGTTATTTTACCCATTCAGAAACATCATTTTATTATTTTTCTAATGATCATTTATCTGAGAGAGAGAGTGAGTGGGGTGGGAGCAGAACAGATGGAGAGAAATCCTCAAGCAGACTCCTGCTGAGTTTGAAGCCCGAGGCGGGGCTGGATCCCACAACCTGAGATCACGACCTGAGCCAAAATCAAGAATCGGCTGCTTAACTGACTCAGACACTAAGACACCCCAGAAACATCATCTTAAATACACAACTGGAAGGTCATCAGTTCAGGCTTTTTGCCACAGTAAAAAAAAAAAAAAAAAAAAAAGAAATCTAATAAAGAATAACTAAGAGGAGTGCCTGGTTGGCTCATTCGGCAGAGACAGGACTCTTATCTTGGGGTGCTGAACTTGAGCCTCAAGTTGTGGTCTAGAGTCTACTTTAAAAAAAAGAATAACCAAGAGATTGCTACCTTGCTCTGTATGTAGAATGGAAACACACAAGTGATTGGTGAGTCTTTGTTTTTTGTGGGGAATCCCCAAAGGGCATTCTTCGTTTCAAGAAAAGTGAGGTTTTCCACACTCCCTATAAGGTCTCTCAAGTAGTCACGCCCATCAGAATCTGCTCTTTTCCAACTTTTCGCTGGCTTCTCATTGTAGCATTTATGCTAACCTACTACTTGTGGAGCAGAGTACTGATTTGTTTTTTCCCTGAAAACTATGGTCATGCTTTCCAAAAATCAGTTTTCTTTTGATTTCACATAGGTACTCTATTATTCAGTCTTAAGACAAATAAAGAGAAAGAGTTACAGAAGAAAAAAGTGTAATGTCTGGTCATGACTGCTGCTGTGAAATATTGAAATGCCACTGACATTACCCTACACATTAACAGATTAGAGATGTACAAGCAGCGTTTTTAAGATGTGATAAATGTCCTGAAAAGTAAGAAGATGTAAAAATGAAATGGGATAGAAAACAGACCAAGAGGAAAAAAGCATAAGATGAAAACAAGCAGCAGAAGAGAATGCCTTCTGATCACTCATAGAGCTTGTTAAATAACATTTTATTAAAAAAAGAAATATTCCAATACAACTTCATCTCTTTAGTATCTTGAATCTTTAGTTTTCAATTAGCAATAATCGCGCCTCAGATAAACCTCATTGGCTACGGTACTGCCACTGCGCAAAGCTTGAATCTTTAGTTTTAAAAAAAATGCAGGTGTACTGAATATAGTAAAGATGTTTCTTCTTTTATATAAAGATGTTATAAGTTTCCTATTATATTAACTGAATCAAATTGATTTTAAAAATAATGTTTTGGCATTTGGTTATTTAATGAAATAAAATAGGATACAAATTATAATTTCAAGATTAGAAGAGTAACTTTTTGATAAGATAAATAACATACATAATATATCTATTGGTGAAATACTTAAAATTACATTAAGAGAGCTATGTGTGTATCAGAAACAGAGACTAATGTTTTCAAATAGAGAAGACAAATTAGCAAATTTCATAATTTATGAATTAGAGTTTAATTCATAGTTTCACCCTAGGATAACAATTTGTTTGCTTAAGTCAGATCCTGGTTCTTGTTAGGCATGTCAGTACATACAGGTGTTCTTTGAGGTTAGGTACTTGCTTTTTAAAAACCCTATGTATTCTTTTAAAATGGTATCATTCAGTAATGCTTATCAATGAAGAAATTAAAAATAAAAACAACTCAAAAATGGTTAGAACAACTTCTGTGACACTGTCATAAGGTAAAAATGAGATCAGTCTTTAAAATTGGGTAGATCTAGGTTACATTCTGACTCTACCATTTACTTGCAAGGTCTCTAATAATCTACTTAAATTCTGAGTTTTGGCTTCACCAGCTTTAAAACAAAGAGATTATTACCCACCTCAGATGGTTGTTGTTTAAATCAACATAATTTATTTAAAAGCATCTTGGACTCTACTGAGCACACAAATACTCAAGAAATCTTGATTCTTACCTGCTCAGGAAGTGAGGTTATGTCAAATTGTGCATGCAAAGTACTCCAATTTAAAATAGTAACAACCTTTGGATTTTCTGAAATAAACCTAAAATAAAAACTATCCAAGACAAAAATAAGAAGTATTCAAGGGAAAAAAAAATTAAGATTCAATTTATCATGGGATGCATAGTTACAAAGATTGCAAGTCTTTAGATGTCAACAAAAGATGGGCACAGAATTTAAATATTGCATTTTGAAGCCTAAAAGCTTATAGAAATATACAAGCCATGGTATCATGATATCATGATCCATGGCATCACAGATTATGGTAACTATTATGATCGCTGTGTTGGTTTCAATTTTCTCCATTTGTAAACTCAGAATAGGCTAAGTTCGGCAGGGCTCAGACTGAGCTGTAAGATTGGCTTCTGACTCACAGAGCTCCTCTTGCTGAAATGACTGCTATTTCATGAATTTAAACAAGTGCCACAAGTGCTCATTTCCATGTGTGACATTTTTGATAAACTTCCAGGTTTCAAACTGGATAGGAAAGACAGATTACAAGCCACATTTGCTTAGTATGAACAGTGAACTAACTCTGATAATAGTCCCTCTCAAGACTTCCAGTCAAGGGGTGCCTAGGTAGCTTAGTTGTTAAGCTTCTGCCTCAGGCTCAGGTCATGATCTCAGAGTCCTGGAATCAAGCCCTACCTCAGGCTTGCTGTTCAGCGGCAAGCCTGCTTCTCCCTCTTCCACTCCCCTGCTTGTGTTCCCTCTCTCACTGTGTCTCTCTCTCTGTCAAATAAATAAATAAATTATTTAAAAAAAAAAAAAAGACTTCCAGTTAAATTCCTCAAATAGTAGCCAATTGCTTTAATATGAAGAGAACTAGCTAATCAATTTCCAACATACAACAGAAATACGAAGGATGGAAAAGAAAGTGCTTTAAAAAGAAAGAAAAAAAAAAGAATGCTTTGTGACAGAAAGATCTTTGGAAGTACTCAGGACTGAATGGAATCCTCCAGAAGCTCCAAGCAATAAAGCCATTATGGTTTACCATCTCATATATAATTCAAAATAAAAACAATCCCAAACCATATAATAAGAACAAAGAGCTCCAACAAAATTCTGAATTGTCACATGATGATGGTGTAGAGGTCTTTTTTAAGGAAATGGTAGATGTTAAAACAAAATAAAACAGAAAACCTGTTTTTCTTGCTTTGCTCATTGGTGTATCAAGTTCAACAGCAAACTCCCCAAGAAATCCCTAGAATAATCTATTGATCAAGCATGGCTAAATTTGTTAAACTTACTGCAGAGAGGGAGAATACCATTTCAACAGTTTTAGGAGATCTCAGAAGAGGTCAGAGGCAGAAATTTATAGGGTTTGGGGTATGGGTCTTTTAAAGTGAGATCAGATCAAGATTGGGAAAAGTTGGGGTCCCTGGGTGGCTGTTGGTTGGAGTCCAACTTTTGATTTCAGCTTCAGTCATGATTTCAGGGTTGTGAGATCAACCCCTGTGTCAGTCTCTGCGTTGGGTGTGGAGCCTGCTTGGAATTCTCCTTCCTTCTACCCCTATACCACCCCGCCCCTGCTCTCGTGCTCTCTCTCCCTCTCTCAAAAAAAAAAAAAAAAAAAAAAAGGGCAGAAGTTTATGATATAGTAGTTTGAGATTGATGTACACAGCAATCAGAGGGTCATGAAGCAAGTCTTGATAAAGAAATAGTTGTCTGATAACAGAACATTTGGCCAGGTAATAATCTATTGTTTTGAAAAGAGGGTTATTTACCCAGATGATCAATTTATTGTTCAAATAAATTGGGTTTTGGAAATTTCCTAATGCAAACAATGAAATTATTTATTGCTCTACCAGTTTATCTCCCTGGACAAGAATTTCCTGGAACAATAGTAAGTCATGTTGCTACAGGTGGTCTAAATTCTTAGAGCTGATCCACTATGTGGATGCAAGTGGAGTCAGTTCTCATCACCTAATATGGAATCCAACACTGGTGGAACCTCAACATTGAATCAGGTATTGAATTAGGAATAAAAAAGAGGGAGGTTTGGAAGTAGGAGTGTCAGTCAACAAAGGGATATGTGAAATAATTTCAAGGAGACTTGGATAAAGTTAGCTGCCTCCTCCAGAAAAACAGGATTGAGGGACTTCAAAATTCAACTTTTGCCCCAAATGGAACAGAGAGAGAAGATTCAGCTATAGCTTATATAGACCTGCTTAACTAGTTGACAAGTCTGAGATGCTTAGATCTGGTTTGTTTCTTGAGGGCTGAACCTGCCTATTCAATTTTGTGTCCCTAACACAGGACACAGTGTCATTAAGTGCTCCAAATATGACTGCTGGAATGAAGGAGGCTCTACTAAAGGTTGTAGTTGGTCTCTGAATGGGGAGCTAGATAGAACAAGTGTACATAGATGCAGTCTCCTGGTTGGTAACCAACCCACATTTAAGAAGCCGAGCATTAAGTACATTGAGAATCTGGGGCTAAGAAAAGACCATGAAGGTATTTAAAGGACATCTGAGACAGATGAGGTAAAGGAAAGAGCAGGAAAAAAGAGGAGACACTTGATAATTAAAAATAGCTTGTGTTTACATAGTACTTTCTATTGTATGGAATATTTTCATTTATGTTATTTCATTTGATCTTCACAATATTCCCAAAGGAAAGTAGAATGGGCATTATCACCTCCATTTTATGGGAGAAAGTTGCAGCTCAGAGATGGTTTAGTGTCTCACCCAGGGTCACAACATTGTAAAATGCAGAGAGGGCTCTGGGATCTAGATCTTCTGGGGAACTTGACACCTGCTAAGAATTGGAAGCAGACCTAAAACTGTGAGAAGAGTGAGAGAGGTGTTTCTCTTTACCCCTCCAACCATAAGGACCAACAAGGTTTGCCGAGTTTTAAGTCCTGTAAATAGACAAGGGTATGCTGTGAACTGTAACTGAATGGGAACTGTTGATACAGTCGTCAGATCCCATTCACTGTGCCTGGGTACCCTGAATAAAGCCTCTGAACCACCAGAAACCAACACTGCCATCGTGGAAACACAGATTACTGTTTTTTACGCCAGAGTCCTGCCTGGCCACGTGTTTCCACAGGCAGCAAAATTTCAGTATCCTTGTCTGGCTGGGCTTCAGTTTTTGGCAAGAATTTCCCCTTCTCTTGTGAACATCTTGGAAAGCTTTTCACTGAGCACAAAGATGTTTATTTTGAGAAGCAAAAGGGACTAACTAAATACGTTCAAAAACAATCTCTACCTCTCCCACCAGAGGACACTTACTTTTAACATGAAAGGTATTTTGCCACCCCCACCATCTAGTATAACAGAACCCACAGGTGATACTATCTGGAATAGCTCTGAAGTAATGTGATTCTCTGTGTTACTTCAAATCCTGGAGAGGTATTAAGAATCTGGGATGGGGAAGCATTGAAGATAGTAGAAAGGGAAAGAAGTGGTGAAGTCTAGGAGGGGGAAAGTGCTCATATGAAGAAGTAGACAGCCAACCACTATTCAGCTGCCTCTCAATTGCCTGATTATTTCTCAGACACATTTGGAACAGTTTTCACACTGGTTTTAGAAGGGGTTGTGTCCAGGCACAGAACACTGTTCGGTAGGCCTCAAGGAGAGTGGCAAATATCACGTGGTCAATGATTTTTGAGGCATGTTGATATATAATCATGTCATTTTAGAATTATAACATACTTTAGAGTAATTGGTTCAAGTTTCTCATTCGAGAGATAAAGGAAGACCCAGAAAATTAAGGGACTTTTCCAAGGTCAGACATAATTCAGCAGTAAATCTGGGGAAGTTACTCTTGAGTTTTGTGGTTACTCCACCACACTGTGAGACAGTTATTCTGAAAGCTAATATTTGTTATTGTTTGTCTACTGAATGATTGGTTATCATTTTCTCTTCTTTCTACATTGGATTTCTGACTTTTTAAAAATACTGTCAAATTTCCCTTCCAGTGTGAAAGGACTTAACAAAGGAAAGGCTCTCTTCACTGAAGTTAGCTGAGGTAAAAGTAATTTTTTAAAGTTTTGCTTAGAGGCTCAGACTTTAAACTTTCTCTCGAAGTTTCCAGTAGAAATATGGTAGTAAGAGCAGGGAAGCGATGAAAAAAGGAGAGAACCGAACTTCTTGAAATTGAGAAAGCAGATCCCTGTGGACTTGGAGACAAATGGAAGGACAC